GATGCCCACCTCCGGGAGTCTGCAAACCAGATCCAGTACCAGTGCTGGGATTGCCAGGAGCTGTTCCCCTCGCCCGAGCTGTGGGTAGCTCATCGAAAGGCCCAACACCTTTCTGCCATGGTAGCTGAGCCACCAGTGCCACCTCCTTTGCCTCCCCCAACACCACTGCCTCCACCTTCTCCCCCACCCCAAGTCAAGATGGAGCCTTATGAGTGTCCTGAGTGCTCTACCCTCTGCGCCACCCCTGAGGAGTTCTTGGAGCATCAGGGCACCCACTTTGACTCCCTGGAGAAAGAGGAGCGAAATGGGCTGGAGGAGGAAGAGGAGGACGATGAGGAGATTGAAGAAGATGATGAAGAGACGGAGGATGAGGAGGCCATGGCAGAGGTCGGTGATGATGCTGTGGGAGGTGACGAGTCCACAGCTGGCTGGGCTCAGGGTTGTGGGGACTGTCCCCAGCACCGGCCCTCCGCAGATGCTCGCCAGCACCGGCGGGGGTCTCACAGCCTGGCCTCGGCAGCCCACCCCTTCCACTGCAGCCAGTGTCAGCGCAGCTTCAGCTCTGCCAACCGGCTGCAGGCTCATGGGCGGGCTCACATTGGTGGCACACACGAGTGTACAACCTGCTCCAAGGTGTTCAAGAAAGCAGCCTCACTTGAGCAGCACTTGCGGCTGCACCGCGGGGAAGCCCGCTACCTCTGTGTAGACTGTGGCCGAGGCTTTGGCACAGAACTCACACTGGTGGCCCACCGGCGGGCCCACACTGCCAACCCATTGCATCGCTGTCGCTGCGGCAAGACGTTCAGCAACATGACCAAGTTCCTGTACCACCGGCGCACGCATGCTGGCAAAAGCGGGACACCTCCTTCAGGAGCAGCAGCTGCGCCAGCTCCAGCAGAGCCCACCCCTCCTCCCCCGCCTGCCCCACCTGCCCAGCTGCCGTGCCCACAGTGCTCCAAGTCCTTTGCCTCGGCTTCCCGGCTCTCCCGGCACCGGCGCGCGGTACATGGGCCCCCCGAACGGCGCCACCGCTGTGGGGTTTGTGGCAAGGGCTTCAAGAAGCTGATCCATGTGCGCAACCATCTGCGGACGCACACAGGCGAGAGGCCCTTCCAGTGCCACTCATGTGGCAAGACCTTTGCTTCTTTGGCCAACCTCAGCCGCCACCAGCTAACCCACACAGGTGCACGTCCCTACCAATGCCTGGACTGTGGCAAGCGCTTCACGCAGAGCTCCAACCTGCAGCAGCACCGGCGGCTGCACCTGAGGCCAGTCGCCTTCGCCCGTGCCCCTCGCCTCCCCATCACCGGTCTCTACAACAAGAGCCCCTACTACTGTGGGACCTGTGGCCGCTGGTTCCGCGCCATGGCAGGCCTGCGACTGCATCAGCGGGTCCATTCCCGAGCTCGGACTTTGACACTGCAGCCTCCCAGATCACCGCCTCCTGCCCCACCCCCACCCCCGGAGCCTCAACAGACTATCATGTGCACAGAGCTGGGGGAGACCATCGCCATCATTGAAACATCCCAGCCACTGGCGCTTGAGGACACGCTGCAGCTGTGCCAGGCTGCCCTGGGGGCCAGTGAGGCAGGTGGGCTATTGCAGTTGGACACGGCCTTCGTGTGACATAGCTGAAAAACAGCAACAAAAGGGTTTGGTTGCAACAGCCAGTATGGGTACCTCGGGGGAGAGAGGACCACCCTCTGGCAAGCTGGTCTAGTGCCCACCATGTGCCAGGATCCACCTTGGCTTCTTTTACCCATTGACTCCCCAGAACAACCCTTCCAGGCTTGTCATCTTTATCTGCCTGAGGGGAAACTGAAGCTCTGAGATGCGATGTGATCTGTACCAGGTCACCCAGCTACACTGCAAAGCAGGTTGGCCAAAGCCGTTTGCACTGCATCACCCTGGTGCCCAGCAACATCAGGTAACCTTCACTGAGCACCAAGCATGTGCCAGGTCTCTGCTGGGCACCCCCATATACCTCTTCAGATCCTCTGCTTGTACCCCCAGCCCTGGCCTTCCCTGGATTTTGGGCACCCAGGACTTGGCTCTACCTGGTGGAGGAGGGTATTTGATTTCTCTGGGCTTCCTTCATCTCAATTTTGACAGTGTGGAAGGAAATCTGTAGGTACCCAGGTCCTCAGCTCCAGACTGAGTGATGCTGGAGACCCAGGAGCAAGTCAGCACGGGCTCTGCCTGCAGGAGGCGTGCACAGTCTGGTAGGAGAAACACACAAGTACAGATGGCTTGCTCTCTGAGTGTGTCTCATTGATTCATTCAGCCTGTGTGTCCTAGGGCATCCCTCTTTGCATATTGGGTGATGCTGGGGAAAGAGATGAGTCAGGTGTAAGGCCTCTCAGGGCTATGATGGGGATGTGCAGGGACAGTGGGATCCCAGGAAACAGACCTCCATGGTGGGAGATGAGAAGTCAAGGACTTCCTAGAGGAGGTAGTCCCTGAAGGAAAAGTAGGAATCTGCTAGTGAAAGGGAGAAACAACATTCCAGGCAGACAGCACTGCCAAGAGGGTGACCTCTTAGTGTATTTGGAGACCATCCCATTATCCATCTGACTGCCTAGCTGAGACAAGCACCACACTTAGCACTGTACGTGTACTATGATCCCAACAGGCCTGTGATGTAGATATTATCCCTGTTGTATAGATTTTTTAAACTGGCCAGGTACGGTGGCTCATACCTGCCATCCCAGTGCTTTGGGAGACTGAGGCAGGAGGACCACTTAAGGCCAGGAGTTCAAACCTGGGCAACAGCAAGACCTCATCTCTACAAAAATTAAGTTAGCCAGGCACAGTGGCTCATGCCTGTAATCCCAGTGCTTTGGGAGGCTGAGGCAGGAGGATCACTTGAGCTCAAGAGTTCAAGACTAGCCTGGGCAAGATAGTGAGACTTTGTCTCCATTAAAAAAGATCAGCCGAGCATGGTGGTACACACCAGCTTTGCCAGCTACTCTGGAGGCTGAGGCAGAAGCAAGAATGCTTGATATGGGGAGACTGAGGCTGCAGTGAGCTGTGATCATGCCACTGCACTCCAGCCTGGGCAACAGTGCAAGACCATGTCACTTAAAAAAAAAAAAAAAAGAAGGAAACAAAACTAAGGACAGAGATTTGCCCAAGGTTTCACAACTAAGCAGAGACATTGTGAGATTTGAGTCCAGGAGGCCCCTTAGGCCCACACTTGTAACCCATACTATACTAAGTGATTAAGACCGAGACCTGTGCAGGGGTAAACCAGTGTCAGAGTGGTTGGAATTTGAGGGGGCCCTGAAAGATCAAAGGTATTGGGAGCAGGAAGATTCCCACCTTGTTGAGAGGTTACCTAGAATAATACTCTTTCCCTCCCTTTATTTATTTATTCTTTTTTTTGAGATGGAGTCTCACTCTGTCGCCCAGGCTGGACTGCAGTGGCCCAATCTCAGCTCACTACAACCTCTACCTCCCACGCTTAAGCAATTCTCCTGCTTCAGCCTCCCTAGTAGCTAGGATTACAGATACTTACCACCCTGCCTAGCTAATTTTTGTATTTTTAGTAGAGTTGGGGTTTCACCATGTTTCACCAGACTGGTCTTGAACTCCTGACTCCAGGTGATCCGCCCACCTCAGCCTCTCAAAGTGCTGGGATTACAGGTGTGAGCCACTGTGCCCAGCCATAATAGTCTTTCTCACCCAAGTGGATGCATGTGATTCATGATAAGTTCCTCCCAGGCCCCTGCAGCCCAGGGTGCTCAGGCAGGGGAGGCAGAATGCAGCCGGGGATGGAATTGTCCAGGAGGGATGCCTAGACTTAGGAACACCTTCAAAGCTGGGCTGAGTAGTTCAGGGTTGGGAGAGGGTTGTAACTGGGTGTTGGCTCTGGGCTCCAAGTGGGATGAGTGGGAGGCTAAAGATGGTCCAGCAGAAGACAGGCCCAGACCTGAGAAGGGGTCATGGGGTGGTAGGAGGGTGAGAGACATATTAGTGACATCATGGCTGACCAAGTGTGAGTAGCAGGGAGGAAGGGGTCCTAGGATCCCAAGGTCTGCCCCTCACCCAGAAACAGCCATCCTCCCCCTTGTCAGTCTGCTTGTTCTGTATATTCATTCATTCTACAAACCAGGTAAAATCCAGGCAGTGTTAAGCAAGGAAGGGACAGGGTCTGTCCTATCCCAGGTAGTAGCGTAAAGATGCCCCTTGAGTGGGGCAAGCAGACTGGAGAGCCCACACTCCACCCAAATAGTCGCTTCACTCCATCTGGAACCTTTGAAACTCTTCCCTTTTTGTTCACCAGTGGAATCCAGTAGGGGACCCAGTGCTCCTCCCCAGGCCCTCTTCCACCTCTGGGGCATCCTGGCCACACTCACTGCTGGTGCCATGTAGAGAAGATAACATTTCCTTCCACCCATGCCTCACCATCTGGCCCCAGCATGTGTTAAGTGTGGGTAAAAGTCAAGCTGTCTGCCCCAACCTTTCCAGAGTTGTCACTTCCCAACATCCTTAAGACGTGGACCAGGTAGGTGCCCTGTTTAAGACTTGGAAATGAAGGCTTGGAATCTTCTAGGGTTCTGCCTCCAGCCATGGCCACCCAACAAAGAGTATACAAGCAGGCAGAGCTTTGGCCTGGGTAACACATCATCTCATGTCCCCCTAGACCCTAGAGTGGCAGGCAGCTTGGGCTAAGACAGACAGTCCATTGTTCAAGTCCTGACTGTCTCTTAAGCTCCATGGCCTTCTCTTCTATGATCCCCAATTCACTCACCAGTTCTGGGAGGTTAATCCCTCCCTCCCTAAGCAAAAGCAGATAATTTATGCTGGGTCATGGGGCAGGCTCCTCCCAGGCCTCTACAGCAGATAAGCCAGACGAAGCTCATCACCACAAATGCAGAGAAAGCCACAGTGTGAGGCCTTCGGACAGCCCCCTCTACCTGATGCAGCTCATTCCTGTCCTGGAACAGTCCACCTGGGAGCCCCCACCACCTCAGTGGAAATAGGCAGCCAGACAGAAAGCAAGTTTTCATGCCAATAATTTATTGAACGGAGGTCTGTACACAGGCAAACCTTACTGTGGAAACTAAGACATCAGGAGCTCTCTCCACTCCCCTGGCCCTCCAGGGTGGGGTGAGGAGGGAGAAGACCTTGGGGGCAGAGGACAGGAGGGGAGTTACAGCTGTAGGAGGGGGCGGGGCCAGGTTGGACGGTGCGAATCGACGTTTTCTTTAAGAAAAAAATTATAACAATCTATTTACACCCAGGGGCCAGGGAAGGGAAGAGGAGACAGGGCTGGGCTGGTTCTATTTACAAGGGAAACAGGAGGGGAAGGGGTTTGGAGGAGGTGGAGACCTGGGGGAGGGGAGGGGGCCAAGGGGGTAGGAGGTCCTCATCCCCCCAACACCCTGTCCTTCTTTCCCTCCCCACAACCAGTTAAAATCCTCTTAAAAAGCCCACCACAGGAGTGAGGCTGGTGAGGGAGGGACTGGAGGTGGGGACAGGGACTCATTTACCTCTGCCCTCTAGTCTAGGGGCCCAGCCAGGGCAGGAGCTTAATGGGCTATGGCCCCCCTTCCCAGCCCCTCTTGGGGCTCCCAGATGGAAGTGGAAGGGTGGTTGGTGGGGCTCTCAGGACGAGTTAGCGAGGGTAGGTGTGGCATCGGTCGACTGCCAGTCTGAGCTGGTTGAAGTCTCAGTTAAAGCTGGAGGGAGGGAGGGAGGGAAGGAGCAGAGAATTAGCCTTTGCCTTTCAGACACCCCTTCCCCCAACCCAAGAATAGGAATTCTCATTATAGATGCTGCATTAAAAGTTTAAAGCTGTCACTTTAGGTCAAGGGTTGCAAGCTCAAGTGCCAAAGGGCCAGGATGGTAACTGAGTCACACACCAGGGTGCCAGGCTCCATATAAGGGGGCAGTGGGTTGGGAACAGTGGCTCACACCTGTAATTCCAGCACTTTGGGAGACTTGCGGTCAGGAGTTCGAGACCAGCCTGGCCAACATGGCGAAACCCCATCCCTTATTAAAAATAAAAAAATGGCCAGGCGCGGTGGCTCAAGCCTGTAATCCCAGCACTTTGGGAGGCCGAGGCGGGTGGATCACGAGGGCAAGAGATCGAGACCATCCTGGTCAACATAGTGAAACCCCGTCTCTACTAAAACTACAAAAAATTAGCTGGGCATGGTGGTGCGTGCCTGTAATCCCAGCTACTCAGGAGGCTGAGGCAGGAGAATTGCCTGAACCCAGGAGGCGGAGGTTGCAGTGAGCCGAGATCGCGCCATTGCACTCCGGCCTGGGTAACAAGAGCGAAACTCTGTCTCAAAAAAAAATAAAAAATACATAAAAATAAAAAAATTAGCTGTTGGGGTGGTGTGTGCCTGTAATACCAGCCCCTCAGGAGGCTGAGGCAGGAGAATCACTTGAGCCCAGGAGGAGGATGTTGCAGTGAGCCAAGATTGTGCCACTGCGCTCCAGCCAAGGCTGGACTCCATCTCAAAAAAAAGGGGGGGGGGGGCGGCTGGAACCCAACACCCACTGTCTACTGTCAGGAGGATGGGTGGACCTGTTACTACTCAATCTGATTTTTTTCTTCCCCGAGAGAAACAGGAAATCTGAGTTGTTACATAAAATGGCCCCTATTTTTAAACCTGGGCAACATGGCCAGGAGTGGTGGCTCACACCTGTAATCCCAGCACTTTGGGAGGCTAAGGTGGGAAGATCACCTAAGGTCAGGAGTTCAAGACCAGTCTGGCCAACATGATGAAACCTCATCTCTACTAAAGATACAAAAATTAGCCAGACATGTTGGCGTGCACCTGTAATTCCAGCTACTCGGAAGCTGAGGCAGGGAAATCACCTGAGCCCAGGAGGCAGAGATTGCAGTTAGCCAAGATGGAGCCACTGCACTCCAGCCTGGACAACAATTGCAAAACTCTATCTCAAAACAAAAACAAAAACAAAAAAACGCCTGGGCAACAAATTCAACGTTCTGTTTGTTCAGGCCAAACAATATTTCTCTGGCTTTCCCACTGGCATTTAAATACAAATGTGCACAAGAATGCCCTTTAAAGGTGGTCATTCACATGTTTTAAGATGTGCTTTGTATGCCATCAAGATTTCAACGATTTAAAAATACATTCAGGAAACCCACTGACAGAACAGCCTCACACTCCCCAGGCAGAGATATGCTTTAACCCCCAGCAGATGGCCCCCAATTACCTTGTGAGGACGGGGTGAGGGTGGTAGTGCCCGCTGGGGACCTCAAGTGAGGAGGGATGAGAATGGCGTTGAGAGACGGTTGGATGGAGAGTTCTAGAAACAGCAATTGACATGCCAGTCAGGGTAGCCTACAGCAGGGTTATGATGGGCACCAAATGGGAACCCGGCTATTGGCAAGGCCAGTTGTTTGTGGACACTTTCAGCCACAGGCCTCTCTCAGTGAAAAACCAGAAAAAGCCTACCACGCGGCAGATCATAGTAGAACTTAACTGAAACAGGTTCAATTACCCCTGAATCCGGGGGTCATCTTTCCTGAGCCCTTGCCTGCCTTGTACCCTACCCTTAGCTCCCCACTCCTGCTTCAACACCAAGCTCTTCACAATCTTTGACTGCCCCTGCCCTGCTCCCCAGATCCCAGGCTATGCCCTCACCACCAGCACTGAAGTTGAAGAGAGGGGGAAGTGGGCGGTTGTTAGGGAGCTGGGTTCCCAGACATCGTAGTTCATCAAAGAAGCTGTGGGCGCAGGCCTCTAGTGGGGAGAGCCTTGAGGACGGGGTGTACTCTAGCAGGCTGGAGCAAAGCGCGATGGCCTCCGGCGGCGTTCGAGATTTAAACACCTGGGGAATGGATGCAGGGGTCATGAGGGTGAGATGCCCTGGTCACTAGCATACTCCTGTTATCTCACTGCCACAGTGCCTGTGGCAAGTACGACTGGCTACTTCCCACACCCCCACCTTCCTAATGGAGAAACTGAGGCCCAACCACTAAGAAGAGGTCAGTTTGTATCGGGTGAGCAGCCAGCCCAGGTCCAGACTGTATGAGCCCTGCTGTCAGCTTTTTCCCCTCCATAATAATTAGAATCTTGAATTTACTTGTGAGTTCTCAACTTTTAAGATGCCATAAACTTTGAAATTGCATGGAAGTTACTGATCCCTGGATAACTCTTCAAATCCTCCTAAGCCATGATTCTGAGGCCAGGTCCACAGAACACTTGACCTCCAAGGGGGAGTGGCTCTCAGCCATGCTGCCCTAAGCCCCGAGCCCTGCCCCACCTTTGTCCAGGGGTGAGCTTTAATCTGAGGGAACTTGAACTCTGTGTAGTTGGGGTTCATCTCTCGGATTTGTTCCCGGGTTGGTGTTCCCAGCACCTGTAAAAAGAGGGAGGGGTCTGAGACAAGGGCCCCACCCCTCAGCCCCACCCCCTGCCTACCCCAGCCCCACCCCTCACCTTGATGATCTCCACCAGCTGGTCCACCCCACTGTCCCCAGGGAAGATGGGCTGGCCCAGGAGGAGCTCCGCCAGTACGCAGCCAGCTGACCAAACATCTGAGGGGAAATGGGGGAAGCGTCAGGGCTAGGCGAGTAGGGCCACCAGCCTGCCAGTACTTCTATTCCTCATGGCCATCCTGAGTGTTAGGAGCCCCGTTTTCTCAAAGACAAAGTACCTGGCCCAAGGTCACATGAAGCCTAGAAAACATGGGCCTGACCTTGACCCTAAAGGTCTGCAAGCCTTTGCTGCACTCTCTAGTCTGGATGTGTTTCCAGCCCTTAGTGCCTTTCTCTGCTAAGGACCCCAATGAGCTCTTTCTCTGCGGCTAGCCTTAGATGACAGACCAAACTAGGCCCAAACCTGCCAACAGGGACCCGTGTTCTTTGGGCCTCAGGAAGGTACAGCCTTAAATCTTGGACTGCCTTCCTCTTGTTCCAACTTCTATCCTTCCCATGAGAGGAGCTACAACCCAGCAGCTTGACCCCCACAACTCGAGTTCATACCTAAGGACTACACAGTTCCTCACGCTGCTGCAGAATGTTCCCTTTCAAACTCTTTCTTGCCCATTCCCTCATTTCAGCCTTCCCCTCATGCATGAAAAATGGCAGTCGTCCCCACAAACAGGGAAGGACACAGAGGCCCTGGGAGCAAGCTGCATCTTCATGGTGGCAAAGCCTTCCTTCCCGATCCCCCCAAGGTCTCCAGCAGCCCTTCCCCCTAGCTTAGAACAGAGGGTTGGCAGGGAGGTTCCAGAACTGATATGGACTCTGGAGTCAGGTCAGCTTTCAAATCCCAGCCCTGCCCAGTCCCAGCGGTGCCACTGCTGGCAGTCAGCCTCACAGCTCTAAGCCTTAGGTTGCTCATCTGTAAAACGAGCATCTGACAGCATCAGCCTCCTAAGTTTGTGAGGACTTAAGCTTTTATCAGCAAGCCCGGCATGGAGCACACAGAGAACTCCAAAATAGGGCTGGCACGGTGGCTCACACTTGTAATCTCAGCACTTCGGGAGATGGAGACAGGTGGATCATGAGGTCAGGAGTTCAAGACCAGCCTGGCTAACATAGTGAAACCCTGTCTCTACTAAAAATACAAAAACTTAGCCGGGCATGGTGATGGGTGATTGTAATCCCAGCTACTTGAGAGGCTGAGGCAGGAGAATTGCTTGAACTCGGAAGACAGAGGTTACAGTGAGCCGAGATTGCACCACTGTACTCCAGACTGAGCAACAGAGTGAAACTCTGTCTCAAAAAAAAAAAAAAAAAAAAAAACCTCCAAAGCTTCCAGGATTGTCACTACCCCCCGCCACCCTCCCATAGCCCTGACCAATGGACGAGGTGTAATCAGTGGCTCCAAAGATGAGCTCTGGGGCCCGGTAGTAGCGAGAACAGATGTAGGAGACGTTGGGCTCCCCTCGGACCAGCTGCTTTGCACTGTGGGAAGAGAGAGGCAGGAGTAAACACGAGGCAAGGGCTGGGATCCTCCCCAATCTCTTCAGCCAGCCAACATGCCCCAGGCCTACCTGCCAAAATCGCAGAGCTTGAGGACAGCAGTATCAGGGTCCACCAGCAGGTTCTGGGGCTTGATGTCGCGGTGACACACACCCTGGGAGTGGATGTAGGCCAAGCTGCGGAAGAGCTGGTACATGTACACCTGGGGCAGGCACAGGACAGCAGAATTTCAGCCCAGCTCTCCCCACACAGCACCACCACCCCACCAGCGTGGCCTAAAGAGCCCTTCCAGGCCCACTCTCCCTGCTGCCTTCATAGCTTTGGGGAAACCGCTGTTTGAAACCCTTGGTTATCTTAGTGTGCACCACAATTACTTGGAGGACTTGTCAAAACAGGGACTGCTGGTCAGGGGCGGTGGCTCATGCCTGTAATCCCAGACCAAGATAGGTAGATTAGTAGAGGTCTGGAGTCCAAGACCAGCTTGGCCAACATGGTGAAACCCCGTATCTACTAAAAATACAAAAATTAGGCCGGGCGCGGTGGCTCAAGCCTGTAATCCCAGCACTTTGGGAGGCCGAGGCGGGTGGATCACGAGGTCAACAGATCGAGACCATCCTGGTCAACATAGTGAAACCCCGTCTCTACCAAAAATACAAAAAATTAGCTGGGCATGGTGGCGCGTGCCTGTAATCCCAGCTACTCAGGAGGCTGAGGCAGGAGAATTGCCTGAACCCAGGAGGCGGAGGTTGCGGTGAGCCGAGATCGCGCCATTGCACTCCAGCCTGGATAACATGAGTGAAACTCCGTCTCAAAAAAAAAAAAAAAAATACAAAAATTAGCCAGGCATGGTGGCACACGCTTGAAATCCCAGCTACTCGGGAGGCTGAGGTAGAATCACTTCAACTCGGGAGGCAGAGATTGCAGTGAGCCAAGATCGAGCCACTGCACTCCAGCCTGGGCAACAGAGTAAGACCCTGTCTAAAAAACAAATAAAAAAACAGAGGCTGCAGGGCCCCACTCTCAGAGTTTCTGTCAGTGAGTTCTTGATGAGCCATTTGCAACAAGCTCCAGCATTGATGCTGGTCTCCGGACCACACTCTCAGAACCACTGCTTTAATCACAACCCTTGGCAGAAGCCTGATGAATTAAAAAGCTATGTCAGGAGGTTATCATAAAACAGGCTAGGGAGCCAGGCACTCAGCTTCCTCCTCGCCAAAACCACTGGCTCCTTAATCCGACAATCAAAACCACCCCTGAGCCTGCCCCCTCTCCAGCTCCATTTTCCTGCCATTCTACCTCCCACTGACTAGAACAGAAGGGGAACGAGAACAGGATTTTGAGTTTCAGTCACTGCTGCATCCCCCAGGGCCTAGATAGGCCAGGGCGTGGCTCCTAGTAACAGAACTGCTTCCTACACCCCCTTTCCTTTATTCCAGTCCCCCTCAGCCAAAGATGCCCTTTCCTTGCCCTGGTCAGTCTCCTCCAGGAAGCCTTCTGTGATCCTTCTCACCCACAAACCAGGCTGGGTGCCTCCTCCATTTCCAGAATTCCCTGTGCTCCTTCTGGTATGGCAGCAGTAGTTCATTTAATTTTCTGTGGCGATGCCTGTCTACCGTACCAAACTGAGAGCTCTTCAAGGGCAAGGGCTGGGTCTCAGTTAACAGTGCCTCTGGAATTGCTCAGCACTGGGCCCTATGCAGGCAGTCACAGGACAGATTCCCCAAACCAGAGGGCTCACCTCCAGGGAGGTGAGGTCCAACAGCCACAACCACTGGTAAAGCCCATGTCGGCTCACCCAGGCTAGAGTACGTAAAGCCAGCAGGATCAGCAGCTGGGCCCGAAGTGACCTCCAGCAAACAAATCCACCCACCCCCTTCCAATGCAGCGGGCTGCTCCAGCCTCTGTTCGCCATATCATCCCTGGGCTGCATTCATTCATTCATTCATTCATTCAAACACCTCCTGAAGGTCTGTAATACCCAGGGCACAGTGCCAGGCACTGGGAAATGAGCCTGCACAGACGATGAACAGAGATCAGTTCCTGGCTCTGTGGATGCTAACCTTCCTCCAACCCTCTTTCCCACCTACTCCCGACCAAGGCTCTGAAGGCCCGGACTCTGGCCTCAGCAGCTGTCCTTGTACATTCCTAGTCCCCACCACTCCCTTATCCTGAGCTAACCCCAACATCTCTGGTGCCACTGGACTCCCCATATGGACCTGGGCAAGGGCCTGGCAGCCTCTGAAGCCCCGAGTCAGTCTGCTTTCCTGATTCAGTCAGGCCTTGCCTGCCTTGGCCCTTCCCTGTATTAGGCGAGCTCCATCTCTGGGGGTTATGGGAACAACAGCAGGGAACACAGGGCCTCCAAAGACCAACATAAACTATGCAGATGAGGGATCCCATAAAAGATGGGAGGCTCCAGAGCCCCTAGTTTTACGGGCCTGGGTCCCAGCAGCCCGCCTGCCGGCCTACCTTGACATAGAGGATAGGGATGGTCAACTTGGCCTTGGTGAAGTGACGGGCCACCCGGTATACTGTCTCGGGCACATATTCCAGCACCAGATTTAGGTAAAGCTCGTCTTTCTGCAGGGAGCAAAGGAGAGGTGTGAGGCACTGTGAGAAGAGTGAGGAAGGGGGAAGGAAGATGTGCGGGGAGCAGTGGGGGAGGGACTGGCACTCATGGGAAAGGCAGACAGGCAGGAAAATGGCCAGAGTTGAGGTAGAGCACCCCACCACCATCTTGAGGTCTCACCTTCTCCCCACTGGAGTAGAAAAAGTATCTCAGCCTCACAATATTGCAGTGGTCCAGCTTACGCATGATCTGCAGCTCTCGGTTCTTGGGGGTAAAGGAAGAGAGTCTCAGAATATGACAAACTCTCTCTGCTCCCCGTCTCTATTCACTCACTCCCCACAACAGAGCCAGGCAGCTACTTCCTGTGTCCCAGCTCCAAGGTCCCCCGGAGTATCCCTCAATTCCTTCTCTCCAGCCTGTTCCCTTCCCACATGAGCTGGAGGCCTATCGGTTAAACACAGGCCAAAGAAGTGTTTTCTTCAGCCCACTTTAAACAAAAATTCAATTTATTGCTGACATGTAAAAACCAAATGACACCTTTCTTCTGATTTTTTTTCTCCAAAAGAAAAGGGATAATATAGCCGGGCGCGGTGGCTCAAGCCTGTAATCCCAGCACTGTGGGAGGCTGAGGCGGGTGGATCACGAGGTCAAGAGATCGAGACCATCCTGGTCAACACGGTGAAACCCCGTCTCCACTAAAAATACAAAAAATTAGCTGGGCATGGTGGCGCGTGCCTGTAATCCCAGCTACTCAGGAGGCTGAGGCAGGAGAATTGCCTGAACCCAGGAGGCGGAGGTTGCAGTGAGCCGAGATCGTGCCATTGCACTCCAGCCTGGGTAACAAGAGTGAGACTCCGTCTCAAAAAAAAAAAAAAACAGGAAAAAAAAAAAAAAAAAAGGATAATATAAAATTTATTTATTTATTTTTTGAAATGGAGTTTCGCTCTATCACCAGGATAGAGTGCAGTGACGCGCTGCAATCTCCACCTCCCGGGTTCAAGCGATTCTCCTGCCTCAGCCTCTTTATTTATTTAAAAAAAGAACCTGGCTGGGGCCAGGCACAGTGGCTCACGCCTGTAATCCTAGCACTTTGGGAGGCTGAGGCGGACAGATCACCTGAGGTCAGGAGTTTGAGACCAGCCTGACCAACATAAAGAAACCCCGTCTGTACTAAAAATACAAAATTAGCCAGGCATGATGGCGCGCACCTGTGATCCCAGCTACTTGGAGGCTGAGGCAAGAGAATCGCTTGAACCCGGGAGGCGTAGGCTGCAGTGAACTAAGATCATGCCATTGTACTCCAGCCTGGGCATCTAAAAAAAAAAAAGAACCTGGCTATGTTGGCCAGATTGGTTTTGAACTCCTAGCGTCAAGCAATCTTCCTGCTTTGACCTCTCATAATTCAAGGATTATAGGCGTGAGCACACACACCCCGCTTTAAAATGAAAAAAAAAAAAAAAACAGCTGGGCATGGTGGCTCACATTTGTAATCCCCCACTTTGGGAGGCCAAGGCAGGGGGATCACTTTAGGCCAGGAGTTCAAGACCAGCCTGGTCAACATGGCAAAACCCCATCTCTACTAAAAATGCAAAAGAATTAGCTGGGCATGGTGGTGCACACCTGTAATTTCAGCTACTCAGGTGGCTGAGGCATGAGAATGGCTTGAACCCAGGAGGCAGAGGTTGCAGTGAGCCGAGATAACACCCCTGCACTTGAACCCCGGCGACAGAGCAAGACTTTGTCTTTAAAAAAAAAAAAAAAAAATGAGGCCTGGTGCAGTGGCTCACACCTATAATCCCAGCACTTTGGAAGGCTGAGGTGGGCGGATCACCTCAGGTCAGGAGTTCAAGACCACCCTGACCAGCATGGAGAAATCCCATCTCTACTAAAAATACAAAATTAGCCAGGTGTGATGGTACACGCCTGTAATCCCAGCTACTCAGGAAGCTGAGGCAGGAAAATCGCTTGAACCTGGGAGGCAGAGGTTGCAGTGAGCTGAAATCGCACCATTGCACTTCAGCCTGGACAACAAGAGCGAAACTCCGTCTCAAAAAAAAAAAAAAAAAAAGATTTCTCATCTAAATCCAGTTTTTTATTTGTCTTGAAAAGTCAGGGCCAGGCATGGTAGCTCACGCCTGCAAACCCACCACTTTGGGAGGTCGACGGGATGGATCACTTGGGGTCAGGAGTTTGAGACCAGCCTGGCCAACGTGGCAAAACCTTGTATCTAATAAAAACACAAAAAAATTAGCCAGGCGTGGTGACCCACACCTGTAATCCCAGCTACTCAGGTGGGTGAGGCACGAGAATCACTTTAACCCAGGAAGCAGAAGCTGCAGTGACCCGAGATTGTGTCATTTCACTCCAACCTGGGCAACAGAGACTCCATCTCAAAAGAAAAAAAAAAAAAAAAAAATCAGGTGTGGGCACATGAGGCTTGCCACCCTACCTGCCACAGGCAACAAGAGACAGGTAGTGACCATCCAGCTGACCCTGGTCCCCTGGAATCATCTGGGTCTTTGAACTCTAGCTAGGATCCTAAGTCCCAGACTCCACACCTCCACCTCTTCCCAGAAGGCAGTCTCAGCATTCTTGCCCATTCTCTATTCCTTTGGGGGGCCTAGGAACTCCCTGCACCCACATCCCTCTCACTCTGGAACCCAACTCCAATCAAATTCTGACACCCTGGAGCTCCTCCTGCCCAAGAGCCCTCCCTGCCAAGACCCAGTCCCTGGTCTGGTTCCCTTCCAGTCTAGGCCCAGTACTCCCACATCCAGATAGCCTAAGCTCCAAATGCCACTCCCTTAAACACCAATTATTCCTCAATTTCCACTTCTTCTATCTCCTCCTAGTTCCCTGGGCCTCTGCTAGCTCACAGGGCACCCCCATTCCATCCGGCACCGGACAAACACCTGGGCAGAGCGTGACCCTCAGAACCACCCGCCTAGACCTGCCAGGTGCCTTTTTCCTCTGGGAAAAAGTGTAACCAAAAGGTTAAGGTAGAGGGCTTGGAAACCAGATTGTAGCCTTGACCGGGCTATGACCTCAGGCAATTCTCTTATCTGAATTTCAGTTTTCCTGCTGAAGGTTATCTTATACTTACAATGGGCATAACAATAGTACCTACCCTCAGGTAATCTTTATATAAATTAGACAAGAACCTGCCTATAAAGCATGTACACTGAGCGAATGCCCAATAAGAGTCAGCTCTGGGCTCTCTTGGGATCCACATTTCCCGTCTTCCACAGGTCTCATTTCCTCTTTTCCCCCTTTCTCTTCCGGACCATGGATCTGAAACCCAAGGCTTCAGCTGTCTGGCTAGGGTTCTCCCACCAGTCATGCCCAGTTCCCAAACCTCCCCATCCCCATCCCGCCCAAGCTACCTTGAACCTCTTGTCCTGGAGAACCTTCTTGATGGCGACCAGTTCCCTGGTCTCTGCCAGCCGTGCCTGGTACACGACCCCAAATGAGCCATTGCCAATCACTTTGATGTCTGTGTAAGCCACCTCTTGGGTGCGCTCTGGGCCTTGGCCTAGAGTGGCTACCACTGTGGTCACCTTCCCGCTGTCACCTGGGGAACAAAGGGGATACACAATCCACTGACCCACCCTGTCTGCGCATCACCCCATCCTGGGGCTGTGGGAGGAAGGGAAATCTCTGCAAGAAGCTTGTTGGGGCCCTCTTTGTCCCTTCCTCCTCTTTGAGGAGAGGTGGATGCTGGACCTTCCCAGTGACTTTACCCTCTTCCTTTCTGGGAACCTTAAATCCTGCCTCTCCTCCACATGGGATGATATTGATACCTAAACCTCTCTGCTTCAAGGGTTGTCAACCCCAAATTTCTGCTTATAGGGAGCAACAGATTACTGGTCCATCTTGGTACTGGGAGACACCAGATGTTGACTCCATCCACTCTGATCTGCTCTCTGGCCCCTCCTATTTGGAGAAAGCTTGACCCAACCTCGTCCACTTAAGGGAGCAGTAACCCCGAGTTACTCCTACTTTGGGAAAGCACTAGTCTTTCTCACAGCCTAGAGGATACTGACCTCTAAGTCCTCCCCTGTAGAGCTGTTAACTTCACTGGTTCTTGGTGAAAGAAATGAATGTCCTCTCCTGGTATACATACCAGTGCCTTAACCCTCACTTTTTGGTACTTTGAGATTAGAAAAAACACTGACTTGACCTCTTCATCTGTGTGGTCCAGAGCCCCAGACCCCTCCCTGTATGTGGGTGGTCCCTAATGGACAAGCACTAGATTATGAGAATGATGAACCTGACTTCTATTATCAAGGGGCTAGTCCAGCCTCAGTCCTTTGAAGGAAAGCTACAATTCTCAATTCCCATTATTCAGATGGTAGCAAACCTTGGTGCCATTCTTAGGGGTCTTTGAATAACTGATGAACCAAATCCTTTTTTTTTTTTTTTTTTTTTTGAGACAGAGTTTTGCTCTTGCTGCCCAGGCTGGAATGCAATGGTTCAATCTCAGCTCACTGTAACCTCTGCGACCTGGGTTCAAGCAATTCTCCTGCCTCAGCCTCCCAAGTAGCTGGGATTACAGGCGCCTGCCACCACGCCCGGCTTATTTTTGTGTTTTTAGTAGAGATGGGGTTTCACCATATTGGCCAGGCTGGTCTTGAACTCCTGACCTCAGGTGATCCATCCGCCTCGGCCTCCCAAAGTGCTGGGATTACAGGCGTGAGCCACCACACCCAGCCACCAAATCCATTTTGAGGGGCCAGAGACATGTTCTTTCAGAGGGAGATAACCCTACATCACTATTTTTTTTTTCAGACCCAATGAAACCATACCCTAAAACAGTTATTAAAGAAGTATAACCTTAGATCCATATTCTATAGGAAACTGACCTACCCTCCCTGCTCCATTCCATTTTTGTTAAAAACACACGAAGCCATGTATTTTAAAACATGGACTATGGACTTGGTTTGAAGGATATGCTGATTCCCAATGTCTTCATATCGAAGAAGCAGTACCTATTAATTCTCACCATTGGGGTACAGCTCAACATATTTAGGGTGGGTAATGATGCCAGGTCTTGATTTTAATAGGGAAGATGATCTGAGTACCAGGTTTGGAAAGCCCTGGCCGTATTCTTTGGGGACACAACATAGTAACCTCAAAGCCCTGCTTTTAAGTGATATTCACTCCAAATCCCCATCTTCTGAAGGACAGCGAATGCAGATTCCTCTTTTTCGGGGTATGGTCTTATTCTTGTTCTCTTAGGAGACAATAACTCTAGCTCCCCATTTGCAAGTGACTGTGACCTCTGATCCAGTTTTCTAATGAATAGCAACGTAAGATACCTGTTCTTAAGGCTCAAGGACCCAAGACCTCAATAAGAACAGGGACTTGTAACTCGTTTCTTTAAGTGTTAATAATCCTGATCCAAGAGTAATTCTGATATCCAAGAGATGGTAACCCCAAGACCCCTTTTTCTGGGAGGGAGAGGGCTCTGATCCTCGGTTTAGGGAGGTACAGTGACCTCGAGCTCCTATCTAAGCATATGAAAGAACCTGACGGATGTCTGAGGAGCTTTAGAAACCCTGATCACCACCCTACACGGGCGCCGCTAGTACTCACGGCCCAGCTTCACCCCGGGCGGCGGGAAGCTAGTGCCTGCGCCGGGGCCTCCGCTGCCTCCTCCGCCGCTGCCGCCGGGTCCACCCCCAGAGCTCGAGGCCCCGACGCCCCCACCCATGGCCCCGACGGACGTCTTCCCGCCGCCGGTGCCGCCTGGGCCGGAGGCCGAGCCTCCTGGGCCGCCGCCGCCGCCTCCGCCTCCGCCGCCTGGCTCCGCAAACGAGCTGGTCCGCGCCCTGCCCGAGCCCCCAGGGCCGCCTCCCGAAGGCCCGCCGCCGCTCATGGCGCCGAGCGCAGGCCGAGGCCGCGGGGCTCGGGCTGCCCGGGCTGCCCCAGCTGCCGCCGCTGCCGCCGCCTCCCCCGGGCTCTGGCCTCTTCCAGGCCGCGCCGCTCGGGCTTGGGCTCCGGCTCCGGCCCAGCGCCCGCCGCGGGGCACGCCGGGAGATGCAGTCCGGCTGTCGTCCGCGCCGCCGTCACCGCCCTCGGTCCGCACAGAGAGCCGCGTGGCACGCCGGGAAATGAAGTCCACAAAAGCCTCAGAGTAACACGGGAATGACGGGTCGCGCTGTACGTCGGGAAATGGAGTCCAGGGTAATCTGTCAGCCGACTGTACGACGGGGAGCCCTGAAGGACTTTGGGAAGCAGAGAGCCTGATGCCGCTGGGAAACGGAGTCCACTCACTCAGTCTATTGGCTGTGTATGCGTCCCAGAGACCGTTGCCCTCTGGGAAATTGAGTCGGCGCGCGTGGACATACGGATCTCCGGCCGTGAAGCAAGCCGGGAAATGGAGTCGTCGCCACGCCCTCACCGCATTGCAGGTGTAAAGAGATTTTTTTTTTAGAGCACGCCGGGAAATGGAGTCCCAGGTGGTTTCTAAGCCCCAAGTGGCTACTGCAGTTCCGGAGATGGGCGAGGAAATGGAGTAGGTTTCGCGCTCCCCTTCCCAGGTACGCTAGGCCGCAGTCCCTGCCGGGAAGTGTAGTCAACAGCAAGGCTTTAGAGCAGTGGCCACAGAGAGCCCTGGTGTGTTCTGGGAAATGGAGTTCCAGGCATCCTCCCCATTGACTGAGGGGGCGGGATCGCCTAAGAGTTCCAAGCATGCTGGGGAATAGTCCAGACCTGACCTTTTGTGAGGCCAGTCTGCAGAGGCTTGCGGGGAAGCGGAGTCCAATGGCCACCGTTGGGGTCATCTGAGCAAAAGTTTAGAGGCTGCAGCAGTTCCCTGGAGAGACTTAAAAGTGTTTCAGCGCCTTCTTCCTCACCCCAGGTCCTTCTTTACGAAAGAGCCGAGGTCGATCAAGGACTGCTGGAAAATGGAGCCAAGCACCTTTAAGTTCCAGGTGATCATAGATCAGGAAAGAAAAAATGTCCCCTCTTGCCCCCCCAAACCCCAACTCTGCAAAGGATTCAGGAAAGAAAGTTTTCGGCGGTTTCTCAGAACACTAGTCGTCGGTTACAGTCTAGCTTTTCCTAGCAATGTGGTTAGCACCAGGAAGCTGATTGGAGCATTAAAAAGACTGAAATATAATTTCTGGGCCTGGCGCGATGGCTCACACCTGTAATCCCACCGCTTTGGGTAGGCCAAAATGGGCGGATCATCTGAGGTCAGGCATTCGAGACCAGCCTGGCCAACATGGCAACACCCCATCTCTACTAAAAGTACAAAAATTAGCCGGGCGTGGCGGCGGGTGCCTATAATCCCAGCTAGTCAGGAGGCTGAGGCAGGAGAGTCGCTTGAGCCCTGGAGGCGGAGGTTGCAGTGAGCCAAAATCGCGCCTCTGCACTCCAGCCTGGGCGACAAGAGCGAGATCCGTCTCAAAAAAAAAAAAAAAAAAAAAAAAAAAATTCTGTCTTGAACCCCCATTCTGTTTTTGCTTTGTTTGAGACAAGGTCTCGCTACGTTGCCCAGGCTGGAGGGGAGTGGTGCGATCATAGGTCACTGCAGCCTCGAACTTGCCGGCTCAAGCAATCCCCCCCGCCCAAGCCTCCCAGGTAGGTGGGACTACAGGCGTGCACCACCACGCCCGACTAATTTGCTTTCGTTTGGTTTGTTTTTTTGGGGTGGTGTTGAGGGGAGGGCTACGACATGTTGCCCAGGCTGGTCTCCAACTCCTGAGCTCAAGCGATTTTGCCTCAGCCTCCCAACGTGCTAGCATGTCAGGCTTGCGCCACGGCACCGGGCCTCCCACTCTGTGTTTTGGGTCCTCTGCTTCCTAAATTACAGGATCCCAAAAAGCCAAAAACAAGCAGGCTGCAAAGAGTAGCCTCAGGTTTTGCGTACTCAGCGAGTCGTCCTATTTATCGATTAATACTCGAAGGTGAGTAGCCCCCAAAGGGCGCTGGGAAACAAGAGTCCCTATGTATGTGTGTGTCTCTTTCTCCCGGAGAAATACTTAGAACTAGAATGAAAGCGTTCTCAGCCCCTCCCGCCTCCTGGAATGGCGGGAAATGGAGTCTCTGGACTTCACGTTAATCCGAGCTTGTATTCCTACTAACTGTCCTGTCCTTTCTGAAGCCAGAAGAAAGTCCTGTTCTCTCAGTTTTTTCTTGACTGCAATTCCCAGCGGACACAACCGCGGGGGACGGTAGCGACAAAAGCCTGTTGAGACTACATTACCCAGAAGGCAAAGTGCGGACATACTGCCGCTCCCTTCACAAAGCAGGCTGCTGCACCATGCGCAGGTCGGCGCGGGCATTTCTGGGAGTTGTAGTTTCACTACCAAATGGGGCCTACTGCCCTCTGATGGCAGCGCTGAGTTAAAAAGTAAACATTTGAGTCAAGCCCTTTGGCCTAGGCATTCCGACACCCGACCAACAAGGCTCACAAAGGCGACGAAATGGGGCGGGATAGCGGCGGTTAGTTAACCGCCAGAACCCGCGGGGCATGCACCATGAGCTGCGCGTGGGCAACCGCCACGAGGGGATTGGGATCCTTGGGAGTTTGAGGGTGAAGGTCTGAGATCGATCAGGATGTTTGTAGAGGGTGAGAATGTTCATAGAGGAATGCTAGGAAGGGTTGTAAACGTCTGAGAGAGGCGTATGGTGTCTGGAAGGGCTAAGAGGAGTCCTAGAGCTGTGAAGGGGCCTTTGATGAGCTTAGTGACCTGAGGATAATTACTGGGTGGAGAAGCCTGAGGGGAATTAGGGTGTCTGTTAAAAGGTCTGTGGGTGGCTGGGGGCGATGGCTCACGCCTGTAATCCCAGCACTTTGTGAGGTCAAGGCAGGTGGATCAGGTGAAGTCAGGAGTTCGAGACCAGCTTAGCCAACACAGAGAAACCGTATCTCTAGGCACAAAAAAATTAGCCAGGTGTGGTGGTGCACTGTAATCCCAGCTACTCGGGAAGCTGAGGCACAGAATTACTTGAACCCAGGAGACTGAGGTTGCAGTGAGCTGACATTGCACCACTGCACTCCAGCCTGGGCAATGGAGTGAGACTCTTGTCTGGAAAAGAAAAAAAGGTCTATGGGAGATAGAAATTACTGGTGACCATGGGGATCTCTGAGTGACCTGAAGGGGTGAGAAATGGTTAGGAAGCATCGAGAAGGGGCTTTGAGTCTGTGGATATACTGAGGCTAATGTACAACACGGGGAGGTCTCTGATGAGATTAATCTGTGAAGTGCTTTGAGAGCATCTGTAAAGGGCTTTCTACTTGGAAGCAAGGATCTCAGAGGATATGGACAGGACCAAGGGTGTCTTCTTGCAGAAACATTTCAAGTCTGCTAATGGATTTAGGTGGGCAATTAAAGGTTAGAGGAGCCGCTGGAGTTTTCAAGGCCAAATGCCACCTGTGACATCCTACACAGCCAGAATCTGGGGCAACTAGTCCGGTAGGGCTGTGGTCTGACCTGGACAGCAGTTAGGGAGCTGAGCATCTATGATTCCATGTGAATTAGAGGTGCTTTAAAGGCACTGGGGTCAGGGGATGAGGCCAGTAGTCAGGGTCCTCTCCTCCCCCGAGTGACAACATCCCCTTCTTCATCATCCCACCACCACCAACTCAGCTGCATCTATGTTGCCAGGAGACATGTCTCATCCCAGCTTCCAGAAATAGCCCAGTGTCCCCCACCCCAGAGTATGTCTTACATCACCCAGGAGAGGGAGCAGTTTCCCGCAGGCCGCCTCAGGAGCCTCGGTTTCCTGCCAGTATCTAGCCCTGTATCCTCTCTTCCCTGCCAACCAACATCATCTGGGACCACCCACCCTGGCTGGCATGAAATGAGATGCAAGTGGGTAGCAGTTGCCAGTCAACGTTCCTTCCCCCTCAGGGTTGCACAGGGTGGAGTTTCCTGGCGAAGCCAGTCCAACAAGCCCTCAATTGCCAATCCATCTCTTAGCAGCTGTGTGGCCTCAGGGAAACCCCTTCCCCTTTCTGAGGTGCCTCAGGCACCCCACCTGCAGAAGAGATTGGCTTGTCTCTAAGGGCACTTCCAACCTGGATTATTCTTCCTAATTCTTTCATCCCTGATTCAAGCTCTCCAATCTCAGCTTCTGTAGCTTTATGAGCTCATCTCAGATCCTCTGATCCTGAAAGCCTGATCTGGATCCAACTATCTTGGTGTTAGGAAGGAAAAGTCAGGAGTTGTTGAAAGAATATGGGCTTTTAAGTCCTGGCTCAGCCGTAGGGCCTTGGGCAAGTCACTTAGCAGCACTGGTTGCCCCTACCTTACTGAATACTGAGAGCAACAGCACTGCAGCTTCTAAGTACTGGACACACAGTAAGTCAACAGCATCGATGACTAATAAGCCAGACCCTTCACTTCGTGCTGGCTGGGGGTGTTCCCCTGGCTGGACCAGATCACTAAGTTACCTTGCAAGGTCTACATTTCAAGAGACACTGCAGGCTTGTCTCCAAAGAACTCCCAGATGAACTCAGAGCAACATGAGGGGTGTGGGCAGGGTACTACGGGCAGTGCCAAAGGGAGCTCCTGGTCTTCACTGGGAACCTGGGGTGTGGGAAGAATTCTCAGCTACAAGAGGGAAGGCATCCAGGCAATCGAAAAACAAGGGCATCGAAGTCGTTGCAAAGAACAGTAAGAGCTTCCAAGGACAAGATCCCCATGGAATAGAGGAGCAGTCAGATGAAGCCAGCGCATGCCCAAGACCATCATCAAGCTCGGGCTTCTGTGCCTCTGAGGTCAGATGGTTTCCCAGGCCTGGATTTGGCACATTCAGATTACGGTTAGGCCCTCTATACCAATCAGGTCACAGACTCACTAGCAGCCAGGCTGGGGCCCCTCCTTCAGAATCAAGCAAAGACTGTGGCCTGGAGGCGCTGCACCTAGCACCTAGGACATTGATAACCGCATCCAAAGGTCCAAAGTTTTATTGTTTTGAATACATTCTCCAGCGGCCCCTCTACTCCCCCCACCCTCAGTCCCCAATACAGAATAAGGCTTGACCACAGCCCCCCACCCCACCCCAGAGGCCCCAGCTGGGAGGCAGAGGGGGCTTCCAGTTTGGTTTCAGGGCACCCCCTTCCCATCCCCCCACCCGCCTGCCCATGGGCCAATCCTAGGAGCAGCTGGGGGTGAAGGGGCTGGATGGGTGCAGGGGTAGAGTGGGAGAGGGATCGCAGGCACTTGTTAAGATTTGTGGCCCATGGGCGGTACCCCTCAACGCCCTCCACCCCCCTCCCCCCAACACATGGAATTTTTGGTTCATCATCAAACTGTCCCTCCCTCCCCTCCCGTGACCTTGTTGGGTATGAGAAACCTAGGCACTCATGGCCCCCTGGAGGGGCAGGGCAGGCAGGGCTGGGGCTGAGGAGGGCTATGGGTGGGGCAGAGGGGGAAAGGTACAAGAGGCAGAGAACAGGGAGGGCAACAAGGCTTTACTTCCTAAGCGATTGTAATAAAAAAGTTCCTGGGTGTTAAGGCCAGAGCCTCAATTCAAATATAAATTCCCC